TCGTGGGACCCCCCCCCCCCCTCTCTTTCTCTAAGGGTAGAATGATTCAGCGAACAGTTTAATCTTGAATGGATGATTAGTATAGTTTCAACTGTCTCCCTGGTTGTTTGACTTGTTGTATTTGCTTCTGAGATAATGCAATAGGATGTTCCTGTTCCAGGGCTTGCATTTCCACCTCTTTACTTCTACAGTGGAGGAGTCCGGGAGTTTCTTGCAGTCATAAAGCAGCATGTATCTCTTGCAAGGTTTGTGTCTGATGTGACAGGCATCAGTTCCCTTTCAGTCATATATTTGTGTATGGAGATGTTTCATCTTGGATTCTGATGGATATACCCCTTTTTTCCCTGTTCTGCTTAGCTTTGTAGAGAGCTTTTGTTATTTACAACCGGAGCTTGTTTTCATAGAACTGCAATGCTGGTTACACATTTGATAATGGAATACAAATCTTTTTTTCATCTTAAGAAAAATTATGAAAGTAATGTTTTCTAGAACTATGGATGATCAGACCTGTGAATGAATTAAAAGAATGGATAATATCATAGTTGTAGACTGATGTAAGCTTAGCTTTATACAGGTCAATAGAAGATGCGAACGTGTTTCTTGTGAATGATTTTGGAAATCCATTGCAGGTAAGGGTTCTTTCTTTTGGTTTTTGTGTTTGCCAATTCCCCAAACTATGTCAAGAAATCACTGATTTCCACACGTTTGATGATATATCTGTTACCTTCCATCTTATAATGCATGAATAAACATAAAACGCTGACCTTAGGGAGCATTCTTGGAGCAAATAGAGTTAGTTTACCTAGCTATGAACAACTTGTGAGTGGTTCTTCAGCAAGTGAGGCTTATGTCTTCTATTAAGTGTCAATCATAACGACTTTTCTTATTTTGGGACATGAATGTTATTGCAAATATCTGTAGCCTTTAAAAATGATTTGATTTGAACAATGTGTTAAACCGTTCAAAATGTACATCAGGAACAAGGAGAGGAAGAAAGCAGGGGCGCTGAATTTGCAGAATGCTGAAGCCGAGAGGAAGATGGTGAGCTTGGGAAGAGGACGCCCTCTGCTTAGTATCGAGTCTGTTTGTACTGGATTTTATATTCAGTTGGTTTGTTAGAGGTTAAAGTTATATCCGAGGATTCTGGATATTCCAGTAAATCATAACACAAACATCAACTTCTACTGCATCTTTAAGTTAGATTCCCATGTATTTTAATTAGTGTCTTACCATCTTTATTGAACTCTAGCATCTTTAGTAATTTTTCTTTTTTGCAAAGCTCGTTTTGGCTACCTGATTGAGCATTGTGATATATGTATGTGTGTGTGTATATATATATATATATATTGTGGTATTAAGTTGTCCTACTGGTCATAATGGGATCTCTAGAGTTTTGACAGTTCTTCATGCTTTTCTAATGTCAGTAAAGATGGTTTTCATACTAATGGGTTTCTGTAGTTGTCTAAATTCGTTATGAATTGAAGCTGGACTATTTGACAGTGCCTTTACATACACAAAGGTTGATTAATTATTTCCTTGTTCATGATATAGGTTGCAGGATACACAGGCTCTGAAGGTTCTTTTAGTTTATTGAGAAGATACTTGGTTTTTGGTGAAATATTTGGACATCCAATATGCAAATTTGGTCTTCTCTCAGATTTTGGATATCAATTATGCAAATTTTGAATTCTGTTGATAAATGTTTATGCAGTGTATGCGGAGGCTTCTGAATGATAGACCTGTTCTTTTTCTTTTCGATATGAAATCTGTTAATGGAATTGATCCATGCTTGACGCCTCTGTTAAACTCCAAATGCTGGTAACTGGTCAGTATTCGAACCCCTGTCACGGTGCTCACATGTCAAAAGTTTAACTTTGCTTTTTGTTAACTTTGCAGTTTAATAAGCTGAGTTTGGTATGGGGAAAACCAAGGCAGTCTCCTTTGGGACCTAAAGAGGTAAGCCTTGTTGAATCCAAATTGTAAGCAATAATCCAAATTCCTGAAATTGTCGGAAACAAAAGTCGATTGGTTTGGTATTTTTCCCATTTAGCAATCATCTGTGATCTGCTATCTGTCTGTCTTTGTTTCCATTCCAGAACATAAGATTGTAGCTTGACTCACTTTGCTTCTGAAGCTTCAGGCTATGCCTAGCGCTATACCTACCTGTTTGTCAGATTTGTCAATTTACTGAACTGAAGATTTCTTTAGGTTTAGTTAGATCGTGTTTGGATTATAAAGCAATTGAACATACATCCACGCCTTTTGGCAAAGTGGTCATATCTCCACAATACGTGGGCATGATGATATAGAATATATTCCGCTTATTTGAGTGTTACCATGTCTGCGCGTGTTACTTTTTTGCTGTCTTCTTCATGTTTGATGGTATTCAAACTTTTGTTGGGTTCTCAGTGGGCAGTTTTCTTCGACTCTGAAGGATGAGTAATGGACTTGAAGGCTTTACGAGAGAGAGTTATCTATGGAGGCATTGAGCATAAATTGCGAAGAGAGGTTCTAACTTTCCTAGTCCATGTGTAACTTAAATTTAGCCTCGCTTAGCTAAATGCTGCTGATTGGTTGTCAAATGCAATACCTCCACTATAGGTCTGGCTCTTTCTCTTGGGATATTATGCATACAACTCGACATATGCGGAGAGAGAATATCTTCGATCTGTTAAGCGAATGGAGTATGCAACAGTGAAACAGCACTCGAAGGTCGGATCTACTTCCTTTCACCTCACTCGAATTTATTGTTTCATAGGTGTTTCTTCTAAATGTCATATCATACTCATCCATAATGGACCCAATTAAATCTCAAGACTCATGGATAGAAGTCACCCCAAAAGCTAGCTTGTTGGAGAGGGTGCACATAGTCTTTTAAAGACTCAATTGTTCCTACATATAGTCGATGTGGGACTCTAACACATGTCTGAAACTCCTGGAAGTTAGCTTTTATCTTGGCTCACATATCTCCTTTTCCTGTAGTATTATTGTGTTGTCAAAATTGTTTGTGGGAGCTAATAGCTCCTTTTCCATTAACGTTGAGGCATTGCTCAAGCAGCTTCTTTCTTTTACATTGGAAGGCCTGTCCTCTGATACTCAGTACTCTTTTAACTTGTGATCTTTTAATAACAGAGCATCTTTCCTGAACAAGCAAAGAGGTTTACAAAATTTCGGGAGAGGAGGGGTCTCATAGATAAAGATGTGGTTACAAAAATTTCGAATTATAGTGTTACATGTGTTGCCTCATTCCCCAAATTTCCAACTTTGAGTTCCTGTTTTTATTTCCATTCGTCTAGGTAAGAACAGACAGGTCACTTAAATTCTATGACGCAGATGACAATCCAAATGTTAACCGCTTGCGCGACATTCTTTTGGCCTACTCTTTCTACAACTGTGATCTGGGTTACTGCCAGGTACTCTCTTCAACTTGCTTAGTTGATCCTTAGCTCTACATTTATGCTAGTATTCAATGTTTATGCATGAAGATGTATTTCTTTAATATGTTGCGTCCTGAATTTGGACATGGTATTCATATCTGTGTCCCACTGCTTAATGTGGAAGTAGGAGGAGCCTGGACATTTACTAAAAGAATTTCAGGAAGTTTGGTGGTCATCATACCTTTGTCCCACTTGGTAATGTGGAAGTCTGAATCTGGGCATTTACTACAAGAATTTCACTAATTTTGGTGGTTATATGTAGTTTAGGACCATGTCACGTCAGTGGGTTTGGGAAGGTCTAGTATTAACCAGTCATATTTACCCTGCAGAACCTAGTCTTTTGTTCTGTCTTTTACTTCGTAACTTCTGCTTGCGTGACTTGGGTGTCAAATGTTTTTTTCGAATTGTCAGGGAATGAGCGATTATCTGTCTCCTATCTTGTTTGATGGAGGATGAATCAGAAACATTTTGGTGTTTCGTGGCACTGATGGAATTTCTTGGACCAAATTTTAACCTGATCAAAATGGCATGCATACTCAGCTCTTTGCACTGTCCAAGGTCTTTTCTTTTTACAATATAACACCGTGTGCACTCTCCGTAGTTTGCTTGTCTTCCTCTTTATCAGCATTTGACATGGGATCTGATTCTGAAGCCTTTTTCTATTCTCCTCTCTCTATTTTAACAGTTGGTGGAGTTGCTCGATAACTCGTTGCATAATTACTTTAGCCAGAACGACTGCTTGAATTACTTCTTCTGTTTCCGCTGGATCCTGATTCAGTTTAAAAGGTTTGTGTTTCACTCCCTCCCTTAGGGGATTATGTTTCAGGTGTCACAATTTCATTTTAATACTATCTCAATCTGGACTTAAACAACGTGAAATCCTATTGTTCCTTCTTTTTTTCCTGAAAAAACAAGTAGTGGTTTTCTAATACATGATAAGATGTTGTACGATCAACCAAGATATTGATCGCTGTGAAAATGTTGATGTTGATGTGTATCAGGGAGTTTGAGCACGAGAAGACGATGAGGCTGTGGGAGGTATTATGGACCCATTACCTTTCGGAACACTTTCGCCTATACGTATGAGTTGCAATCTTGAAGTGTTATCGCCGGAAGATAAATTGGGGAACAGATGGACTTCGACACGCTCCTAAAATTCATCAACGAGCTTTCTGGGTGTATTGACCTCGATTCAACGCTCAGAGACGCGGAAGCTCTGTGCAGTTTCGCGGGCGAAAATGGCGAATGGCGCTGCTAGCATCCCTCCAGGAACCCCGCCTTCTTTACCCGTGGGGGCGACGGTATGTTATATTCTCAACACGACGACGTACTGTAGATAGCCTTATCATTTAAGTTTTGCACATAATTATCCAAACATTAAATCAATGGACAGATCCTTTTGTATGTGCCTCATGGTCGATTACAGAGTGTTAGAATTCTATGCTCTCTGATCGATGTTTCACTTGAAGAGACTAACACTGATGGGCCAAGAATAGAATACAATGGGCAGAAACAGTTGGAAACTTATCATGCAATGATTAAATTCTTGCCTAGACTACGTCCACCGTGCTAATTCTCATAGACTAGAGCATTGAATACAATGATGGAAAAACCCATCTCGAAATTGCTTGCAGGACGAGCAAAGTCTACGCAAGAATTCATCCCTCGATGAGTTCCAAGGAAAAATAAGCCCTAAAGCAGCGGGAACAAGTCAGCGAAGGCAAACGAAGACTGGAGATCGTCAAAAACAGTAGTTGCATAGTCAGAAAACGCCAATGGGGAAGCTATGCCATAGCCATAGCCATAGCCAAAGCCGTTCGTCCCCTCCATCCAGGTACTCGTCGTAACGATACTATCTTCTCGTTTTCCGGTATTAGCTTCTTCCACTCCCCGGTCAATCACTTCAGTAGATGCCATCAAACTCTGTGATACGCATTGCTTGTCCTTGGTGCTGGTATCGATGTCCTGCGTCTTGCCTTTCAATTCATCGGCCTTTCGCTTTCTTGACTCACATTTCTTGTTCAAATGGGTATTCCAGTAGTTCTTAACCTCGTTGTCTGTCCGACCAGGAAGCCGACCGGCAATCAGCGACCACCTGAGGAGATAGAGGTGAAAAGAGTGCCTGTGATCTTAATGAGCATGTAGATGGAAGAGTTCATGTGACTGACCTGTTGCCGAGGAGCTTATGCATACGGATGATGAGGTCTTCTTCCTCGGGTGACATTCCTCCACGCTTGATGTTGGGTCTTAGATAGTTTTTCCATCTCAGCCTACAGCTTTTCCCGCCTCGTTTCAGACCTGAAATGGACGAGAATCGTTAGCGAGTGTCGTCGGGTTAAGTCTTGATTGGTGAAAAGTTAGGAGTATGGGAGAGGACCTGATCTCTGTGAGATATCTGCCCAGTTTCCTTCTCCATAAGTCTCGACATAGCTTCTCAAGATCATGTCTTCTTCTGGTTTCCACAACCCTCTCTTCACTTGAGACTTTCCTTCTCTCTTCTCCATCTCTCTCTCTCTCTCCCTGTCTGCTTACACAGCTGAAATGAAGGACTATCATTGTCAAGCCTTTATATAAGCCACACAGAGAGAGAGAGAGAGAGAGAGAGAGAGAGAGAGAGAGAGAGAGAGAGAGAGATCTATTGCATTTTCATGTGGGTCTCCATCTTACTAAATTATTAAAAGCACTGAGCCCTGCACTTTTACAACTGTCATAAAAATTAGCCAAACCATAGAAATCATATGGCTTGTATATCCACATATTATTCTTATAATAAATGTAAAGAAATGAATTGGTTTATTTATGGCATGAAATTGGAAAATCTTCCAAAAAAGTCTCATCAACCTTGGTGGTTGTGGTGAATCCCTTTACCAAATTCATAAGGAAATTGGGTGAGAGTTTATTGGGAAGAGAGAGAGAGAGGGTCTCTTTCACTTTCACTTTTACCTTTTTTAGTTCATCACTCTCTTCATCTGTGCAGTTCTATGGTAAAAACATTCTATATTTCTCTTTATTTTTTTTTGTTACTCTTCTGAAATTATTTAATTTGCAATTAGAATAATCTGATTGGAAATTTCATCAATTATACTATATATTAGTAATATGTGGTGAAATATTCGACTTCATGTACTATATTTACAAGAATCATTTACTATGATTTTTACTAGCACTACTAAAATATTTCGGTTCTGTTTTATTCGTTGTTCCTTTTAAATTACACTAAACGTTGTAACACCCTCCAACATTTTACTAGTAATCACATTTTCTTAATGACGGTTCAAGAAGAATATTTTATAATTACATTATATTTGAAATTTTCCGAAAGCCCTATTAACTATACAAAATTTCAAAAAAAAAAAAAAAGGGGGAACAATATACTATTAAACGCATGAAGAAACCCACAAACTTTACTAACAAAAGCCGAAATCCACGAGGGTTAGATCCACGTATATTCTAAACCCTAATATGAACGACTCTATTATAAAAGTCCACGTGATATATAAACATATATAGAAAAGGTCTTTCGAAAACCCGATGACGATACTACTTAATTTTTTTCTTAATCAAATATTTTAGGAATTAGGATAGCTTGAATTTACATGTTATTATTTTATCCATTTGACATGATTTTTTTAAATTGTATTATAAGTTATATTCCATTAAAAACAAATAAGTAATTTGATTACCAAAAATAACATCAGACAAAGACTTTCTGACAATTAGTTATGAAAGTCAAAGCTAAACACTAAACCAACAAAAAACTTTGGCAAACTCTTCTAGATTTTTTGTCGCATAATCGGTCAAATACGATTGCTTTGCTCGAGTCTTAAGACACATATATTTGTTGACTGATCTTGATATATATATATATATATATATA